TAATTGTCTTTGTTGAATTACAGACTTCAATTGTTAAAGCTGAATGACGACAGCCACCGGCTTCGTACTGAGAGAAAAAGGAAAAGAGTTTCCATCTAGAGTTCTGCATGACAATCATATAGTGTGTAAAATCTATATTTGGGACATGTATGAGTGACGTTTCTCATTGATATGGCCTCTGCTGATACATATTGTGTTCAGTAGACTTGGTAAAGTGGAGTTGCTGTGGTTTATTTTTTCACGCTGCGCTATGCCAAACGATCCCAACCTTTTGTTAACTTGTTCCCCTCCTCACCTGTGATGGCGCTGCACCAGCAACTGCTAAAAGAGACAACACAAAAACCTCTGAAAAAGACACTGAGCGCAACTTCCTTCTTTATGAAACATAAACAAAACTGGAATCGGATTTTAGTGATAGCAGTATTTCTTTTTCACAGTTGGTTAAAGAACACAAGCCATTTTTTTCTCTGCCATTAGACTTTCCCATTTCTTTTCGTTGTTTTTACCCACAATTCCCTGTGCTATTGTTCTTTTCCTGATTTTGGTCCTCTTGGCATTCACATATACACTCAAACTGCGCCAGAGTTCACTTCAACCAAGCTGAGGCAGAAGTTTGTAGGCGGACCAACATCAAAGTTCAATTACTAATTCACATCTGGCCAAACAAATCGGACTTTCTGGGCAAGTGAACTGGATTTCAATTAAAGTGGTGGACTAAACAGGGCTGGTGTGACTGCACCTTTAGTTTGCCTCTAGCTTACTTGTTTAAAGGCTGTGCTAGGTTTGCATGAGGAATTGTAAACCCATTCTAAGGTAATAGATGTGCTGAAGCTTTATCAGTCTTTCTGGTCTGCAGTAGTGAAGAGAGAGTTGAGCCTGAAGCTGTTTCAACTTTAGCCTATGGTCAAGAGATATAAAGAGTGTTTGAAAGATGGAGCTCTAGATCAGCTGCTGCCTGTGAAGCTCTTGATGTCCCTGAGAATGGCAAATCCAGCGGGTCAAATTACCAAGAAAGACAAGGAGCTGGAGCAGCCAACACAGTCTTTCTTTCACTATGGGCATCATTGTAGGGGATGCAGTAATAGATCTCAAATTACGTGCAGAACCTGTAACAATGTGGTAAGCCATGCATTTTTAAACTGACTGTGTTTAAACAAGTCTAGTCCAGGACTCTGCTCTTTTTTCTGTGGTTGGCTTTGCAAATGTTCTCCCCTCATTTCTTAGCATTTCCATTTGAACCCTTCACTTTATTCATTTTCAATCCTAAATGTCCAGGAAATTGATTTTTATGAAATGATCATTTTTCAGAGAAAAATGATCTGGATGAGTCTGGATCTCTTTTATAAGAACAATGTTTTACAGCTGGTTTGGTATGAATGCTTAAATAATAGAAAGCCTTTCTATCCTGATCTTGTTCTGGAGTTTAGTTTAAGGATCTTGATTGTCTCTTTCCACCTTTTAACTCTCATCCCGTTCTGCTTCTTCTTTTCGACCATTTTCAAATGCACTTCCTTGTCCTGCGTTTTCTCTGCCCACAGGCTCTCCCTGCTTTAGTCATAACTTTAACCCCTTTACATTAATAAATCTTTTTCCTCACTTTCTTTTCACGCTGTTATTTTATTCACTGCATTTATCAGTCTCTGTAATTTCCTTCCTTCCAGCTTCTTGTACACTTTTCCTGACTTTTTACTCCTTGATTCTTTTGAATATTTAATATCTAGCTGCTTTATTTCTCTTCATTTATTCCCCACGTTACAGCACATTTTCTCTTATTATTTTTTGCTATAAATATATTTTCGACATCTGCAAATAATCTGAAAGTTTGTGCCTGCTTTTGTGTTTCTGGTGGTTGTGGATTTTCATATCAGTTTAATGGGATTAGCAGGATTTATGTTGATGAGTTAATTGAGAAGAAAGAGGAAATATAAAAAGCTGATGCAATCTTGGTTCTTTGTGTAAAATCTGGTTAAAAAGTGAAGGTTTGATTTTATGTGTTTGTGTGAATTACATGGAAGTGGGAGCATTATTGCGCCCTCAGGGTAAAGACTGAGCTTCATTGTCTGAGTCGGTCTCATCTACTGACATTACGGTGAGATGTTCTGATTTATGCATGCAGCAAGACCGCTAAGCATGCATATGACTTCACGGTGAAAAAACCCCCCTCATTCTTCCACATTGTCACACAGCTACATGCATGCTGTAAATCCAGCATAACCCGGCATCGCCTGAGGCACATGTGCACATTTTTTCTATTTTCTTTGTTTGTGTGACTGTGTTTTACAGCTGATTTGCCGCCTAAATCCTCCCCGGCCCGTTCACCTCCGTGCAGCTGCTTGTAACTTATTGTCCTAATCAATCCCTCGCACACTAAGAGGCTTTTTCAGCAGAACCACCCGGGGTTAGCGAGCAGTTAGTGAGCGCTTATCCCCCTTTCTTGCAGGGAGAGCGAGAGGGCCGGCTCCGAGCGAGAATTTTATCTTTATAGGCCCAGAGGCAGGCTGAGAGGGGAGCTGCAGGAGAGGAGACCCTGGTTGGATTTGATACCGGGTCTGCAGAGGGTTGGTGGCAGGGGGGACGGGTCTCCGCATGAGGTCAGAGAAGCAGGGTGAAACAGAAAATAAGCGCCCAGAGTTACTGTAAAAGTTACTGAAGTGGGAAACAAAAAAAGGGATTTAACTGTCATCCCCAAACAATGAAAGCCTCCTCAGAAAATGTGGCTTTTATTCTCCCAGATGCGGGCAGATTGTTGGACCGGATCACACACACAAAGGATTACAACTTCTCTGTTTTCCCCTCTTGTTCCTCCTCTTTCTTTCTGCTTTTATTTCATTATCTCTTTGAGTCACTTTCTTTCTTCGTTTCCTAATTTAAAGTGTAACAAGTTCATTATGGTGCATTAATCTTAGGAAGTACACACACTGTGTTTCTGCAACATGTGTCATTTGCAAACAAAGGGCAGAGGCAGCAATTAGTTTTGCTGGTTAGAAACTTCCTGAGGAGGATTAATTCATAAAATTATGAGCTATTGTTCAAAGCCAGCAACAATTAATGTCAGATTATGATAAATTTATTTAGCACATGGTGGAAACAATGAAAAGAAGCATTAAATGTGATTGGTGGTACTTTTTTTTTCGCAGCATTTATCTGAATATTAGCAGAACTCCTCTACATCAGATTCATTTTGTAATTCTGTCAGAACTGGATTAGAAAATGTCGAGTTCAAACACTGAAAGCAACTTAGGCTGACTTTAACAAATTAAATTGGGCTTCCCAGGAGAACTGTGATGCTATTCTATATTTTACAAACTCAAAAATAAACTGATGAAAAACCTTAAACAGGAAAACATTTCGGGTATTTGCATTTTACGCTGATGGGTCATAATCAGCTTGAAAGCGGAGGTTTAAAATATGTATCTTAACAAATAATCTGTAACAAGAAGTAAGAGAGATATATTTAGAGCATAATGTGGATTGTTTGTAAAACAGATATTCTGGGCTCCAGTAGGTGGCGGTATTGTACACTAAGGGTTCTTTGCCAACCGCCATTAATAAAAGAAGAAGACCTGCTGCGCTGTCAATCATTTGTTGCTGTTCGATGACATCTGACGGTGAGCTGAAGAGCCTTTCTCTCTTGTTTTGCTCTCCAATAACCTGAAGGTTTGTTCTTACGTTAATTTGACAGTTTGTCGTTTGAAGGAGCCAGAAGTTTCTTTATTTTCTTCAGTGCTCTTACGAAAGTCTTCTTGCTGTTTTTTTGTGACGTTACTTTCGATGCGCGACGAGGTTTGTCTAATTAAACTTCCCTGATTCTGTGCGTGACAAGTTTCACACTCTGCTCATCTGTAACATCTTTTCCAGCCTTTAGCGAAAAGTACTGGCACAGTCCAAACATTTGCTCTATTCCAGTAGTGTAGCGTCTGCTTCTCTGTTAGCAAACACTGTTGTGGTCACCTGACCTGCGCATGCGCTGATGGATAAGTATGCTGGGGCGCATTATTTCGTGGAGCGAAATGCTGAAGCGGCCTGCTTCTGTCGGACATTTTAAATGAAGTCCGATAAAATCCACGGTTTTTGTGTATATCGGCCCGATTTCCGATATCAATACTGGATCGAAGCACCCCCAATTACTTCCTGATGGAAGAGAGAGACTGGCAAGGATCTATCCATGGATAGCTATTGTAAATCAGGAGGTTGGAGTAAAATTCTCGATGTGAAGCAAAAAGATGGCCTAGTCCATGAATACATATGCAGATCGACCCACATTTCTCGATTCTGAAGCCCAATACCCAGAACAGAACATCTGCAAAAGAAGAGCTCGGAAAAAAAGAAAACGCATCTCTGAAGTCTAAAGATTTAAAATGTGGGACGAAGTTTGATTTTCTGTCAAAAAACTGTAATCTGTTCCCGATCAGAGATTCTGCTGGAGGTCCATGGTGATCTGAAAGTTTTCCTTCAGTCACACAACGGAGCTGCATGTTAATCAAGGGAATCACTTTTTTATAGTGTTTTTGTTCAAATTTAAGCACAAGTGATAAATGTTCAGCCTTTTTCTAAACTTGCTCTTTAAAACCAGATCCGGCCAAGCTCTGAACTCTGACTTCTTGTCTTGCTGCTCTCTTTAAGTTCAAGGAGTTCGACTTTCCTATTTGTTCTTTGTGAAGTTACGTAGGTCCTTTTGACCGGTGCTGCTCAGCAGAACATTTTCTGCTTGGGGTGAAAAGCTGATTTTGCTTTTGCATCAAAAGCAGAAAATCCCCAAACGGCGTGGCGTTCCTGGAGGCTCGCCCCCTAGCGTCAGCCCCCTGTGGGTGATTTTTACTGTAATAAGCAGGAAAACTGGCTGAGAAGCTCCTTGAGGCTTGTTACTAAACATTTTTATCTTTAATTAAGTTATAGCTCCAGTCATGAGCGATATTCGTACTCTACTAGTCATTTTCAAATTAAGAATTATATTTAGAGGAATTTTGCAAATCCTGATTTTCCCTTTTCTCTTGCTGCAGGTGTCGTTGCTCAGAAAGTGCGGGTGGAGGAAGAGTTGGAGGCTTATCCCACAGAATCTGTTGATCTGCGCTGTGAATTCGTCGATGGAGGGAGTTTAACCAAGCTCACACAGGTTGGCACAAAAACCAACACTTTTTGATTGGCTTTGAATGCTTTGACTTTGACTTTCTAAAGGTTAGAAGAAGGGAGGACTGGATTATTTTGGGGCTAAGATTTCTCCGTCTCCCAAAAACTTTCAAAGAATCAACAATAAACATGGTTTTCTGAAAGTAGATTGAGCTTCTGTTGAAAAGAGTTTCTTTTTGTACAGATAAAGAGCAGATTTTTATGGAAACCTGAACAGCCTCCACAGCAGAATAAAAGCTGGCTCTCAGAGGCTCCAACAAATGGGTGGGGGGGATGAAGCACCAAAGGATGACTGGAAAACATAATGATGGATCTCTTTTTATAGCAGTGTTCACACAATGCAATTTTTCTGTGAATCTAAGCTTTTCTCTAAGGATTACAAAATATTCTTTCTTTATTTTGCACTTTAATGCTATTTAATCTGTAAGTGAGTTGTGTTATTAACAGCATAATTTGTATTCTGCCGTCTTTTCCACTAAGTATCAGAGCATCGGCTACTTTTCTGAACATTGATTTGTTTTATCGATTTCCACAGATCATTCTTTGGTACAAACCTCTAATCATTCTGGGATAGCATCATTTTTCAAGATTTGACTTAAAATGCTTGAATTCCAAATAGAACATTTCAATAAGATAAGAAAATGGCCAAACAAACTGACAACATTTTAACTCCCTTGCCTTTAATGCAGGTTCAATTCTTCTATGATTCCTTTCAAAAGGTTGAGTCTGTTGTTGTAAATATGTGAACACTTTTTCAGAGTTTTTGTAATCAAACACTGATGTTGAACGAGAAGCTCCGGCTTGTAGTTTGTTCTTTTTCACCTTAAAGGTTTTCTGTCTGAAAGAAAGGTCAGGACCTCTCAAGATCTTTCACATCGGTCTCGCTTGCTCTTTCTGTGCCAGCGCACAGTGATGTTGGAACAGGAAGGAGACATCCACAAGTTGTTGGCACACAGTTGGAAGCTTGAAATTGTCCAGAATGTCTCTCTGTGGAGAGCCAAGCTAATTTAAACCAGACTTATGCTTTGGAATACCAAATGGAAAGGTGTGAGTCATCACTCCAGAGAGCCCATCTTCGCTGATCTAGAATCCAGTGCTTCCACTGCATCCAGTGCTTTGTGTTTCACTCGGTTGTCTGTTAAAGCGTCTGTATGTCTCGCCGGTCATGAAAGTGATTGGAACTCTGAAAATGAGTGATTCAGATGGGACACCCAATGCCTTTGGAAAAATAGAGTCAAATTAGTAAAGATTTGGAAATTCACTTTGTTTAGATTAAATTATTTATTTTATCAGCATATTTTAAATAATCTCATCTTGCACACTGCAAAAACACAATCCTTAGTATTTGTGGTCTAGTTTCTAGTGCAAATAGCTTCGTTTTGCCCTATTGAAAGTGTGTTAACTTACAAGTATCTTTCCACAAGAAATAGGAGCTTTTTTTAGGTTAATAATTCTTCAATATTGATAAAAAACCTGTTCAACTTTTTTCACTGATAACTAAACATCTTCCCATGTTATAAGTGAAATTAGTAATTTTTTTTCCAATATGAATATAAAGAAATTAACTTGGAAGTAGTTCCTAAAAAGTTACTTGTAAGTTTTGTCATATTTCAGTTGTATTAAGATATTTTCACTAGAAACTAAACAAAAAATATTTGGTGACGTTTATTCATAGTGTAGATAGTTCAGTCCAATCTAACAAGAATTCACACAAAGTCAAATTCAGTTTGATAATGGTGACAGATATAAATCCAGAGCAAACCCGGATACAGTAGAGAGAAATGACTGTTTTAAGAGGACCAGGACTCCAGCAGAACCAGTACCAGTCTCTGCATGGACGGGGCTCTAACCATTTCAAAAGTTGGACAGAAAAACAACAGAAATACAGAGAACCAGGAGTATCAACCTACCAACTATATGTGGGAAGAAAAACAAAGAACCTTACGTTTGCTGAACTTTCTGCCTCCATAACAGATTCATATCTGCAGCAACGTTCTAATGAGCTGCAGACAAGGAATGAGAAGGAAAACAGCAGCCTTTGGCATTAATGTTACAGAATAAAAAAAAAAAAATCAGAGGGAAATAAATCTAATCTAGCAGATGCTCTGCAGAGCTTCTGTTCTACAGCTTAAATAAACACGCCCACACCTCCATGGAAAGGGGCCACTAGTTGGTGTTTTGTTCAGACGTCCTCATTCTGCTGAGTGAGTCTGTGTGTGCATCTACCTCTGCTGCTAAAACAAACAGCTGTTCTGCGCTAGGGACAACAAAGCGGTCCGACACGTCTGAGTCTGTTCCACAGGTCAACTAAATAATTGCTTTGGTCAATGAAACATGTTTTATAAACTTTATATTCGGCCATTAGCAGGCTCTGTTAACACATTCAGAAACATCACTGATTACATGAAGTTCCCAAAATAACTTGGCATTATTTATGTTTGTCTTGCATCACAAATTTAAACCTTAAACATCACAGGGTTTAATGGATTTACATAAAAACATCCAACATAAGATTGTTATGAAATTACAAAAACAATCTTCTGATTTCTTAAGTTTATTTTATTTTAGATTAAAGAAGCACCAATTATGTAAAAATAAACTAAAGGTACTTTCCAAGAAAAAGATTTATATCCCAAAATATGTATTTAAATATGTCCAATCCTATACTGAAGTTCAGTTCAGAATATTCTCAATTATTGTAGTTACAATGGACTCCCATTATTTACAGGAGCTAACAATCGAAAATGCCTGCATTTTCCCAGCTATATTTTAGATATGCTCTACAAAAAAACAGCAGTTTTCTGCAAGTAAATTGAAGTTATTTTCATCCACAAACGCTGAACTGTGAATTGGTCCCCATCCAGTGTACAGCGTTTTCTATCCGCGGAGCCCAGGTGGTTATATCAGGTTATCTCCATTACAAATGTATGCAAAACTTTTTGTTATCCTGCAAAGGTTGTAAAATAGTAAGAATTTTGCTATTTCAGTTTTTCCTTTAAATGAGGCATTAATCAATTTCACAAGCGGATAAGTCTGCCCACATTGTCCAAGAAGACAAAAAGCACTTGCAAAAAACTGTTTCCATTACAGTCTTTGCAATTAGCCAGAGGAACGCCATATTATAAAAACTGACATTAACTTCACCTCACAATCTGATATTAAAGATGCCGCTATGCAGGGGTAAACAAGGCAAGCAAATTAATTCTGCAGGAGGTGTCACGGTTTTCTCTCACTTTCTGTCCATTTTGAGTACATTTCATAGACTACATAAACCGCCGCATAAATGAGCTGTTTGCTTGTTCAGATGGATCTTCAGGGATCTGCTGCCCTCAGGCTGCTGGTTGGAATCAATAGGTAATTTGCTCACATATACAAAATCTGAAATTGCACATGGATTCATTAGACCTGTGTTTTATTTTCGCTGCAATCAACAACTGAATAGGGAGTCTTGTCTCCTAATTTGAGATGATATGTGGTGTAGAGTCTGTATCCTTGTTTGTATCCCCCCTCTGTTTCTGCGTTATTTTCCCCCTCAGATGTCATTCGTTTAGATGTTTGCTAAATGTGTATTGATGAGCTGTATTCCTTCTCCTTCCTGGACTCCCATTTTAGCCAATATTTGGCTGTCTCTTTGAAAACAGCAGAGAAAAATGAAATCAATGTGGGAAAGCATCACAGTGTTCTCCCTCTGGGCAGAGTCTCTGTAGATATCGATATTTGTCACAATCAGAAATCTCACAAAGAAAAGCTTATAATGGTCCTTGAGAGGGAATCTGTAAGTAAAGCAAACCTTTCATTCAGTCCCGAAAAAGATTTATGGCCCCTTATCGAAAGAGTTTTTTCTTTCTTTACCACTTTGGCTAATTTTGGTGCTTCTCAGTAACTTGAGTGTCATCAACAATTAATCTGTATGAATAATTTCTTTGAAAAAAAAAAAAAAATCTGTAGTTGCACTGCAATGAACTGAATGTGGAGGACATGTGGCAGGAAGAGTAATCTAAAAAAGAATCAGTAACGCGATAAGATGCATCCATCCGACATTGAGAAGAAGATGTCAGTGAATAAATGTCAGGTTCTTGGTGTGAAAGCAACTTTTCCATCTTTGCTTCAACATACCTGAATCAAACGAATAATTAATGAGCTGGTGCAAGCAAAACCTGCTGACATGGAAAGAAAGTAATTCAGAAAGTAAGTGTGTTGGAGCAGGACGCATACAAAAGTTGCAGGAGAGTGAAACTTGAGGGTTGCAGTTACAGACTCTGGATCTCGTGTTTTACATTATGCTAAAATGGAGAGTTCGTGAGCTAATATTAGAATAGCTTATTCCCTACTTTTGTCTTTCTCATAACTGAGGTTAAACCCTCATATTAGAATTAAAGAATATGCTTTAATTCTAATATTTACATATTTTACTTAGAGTTCTGTAAAAATTTCCCCATTTGTGTTTGTTTTTTCAGTTTCTCAAGATTCTGAAAACACAAACAGGACAAGACTTTATTATTTTTTGTAATGGTCGACTTTTTTGTGTCCTTTTTGTTTCCAAATTAAGGTGACAGCAAGTATATAACTTACTGTCACCAAATACAAGTCCTAATTCTGTTTGAACGCTTCAGTTTATATCAGTTTTACCTTCATATTTTAAAAGCACCTGAACTTCTATTTGCTGCTGTACTGAACTGAGATTCAAAGTTAGAAGTTATTTATGAGGTGGCCACCTCTACATTAAATAATTCTGGCATCAGCCTTGACTTCTGATATTTGAAGCAGAGGTACATATTTTCAATGATTCCTCTCTGAGGACTCATTTTATTTATTTACAGAGATGTTTATTTACAGTAGCTTTAACTTCACCCTCATGAGAAAACACACACAGAGACATTGAAACACAAGAGTCACCAAGCGCTTACCTATAAGACTCAATTGTGATTTCTGCTTAAAGAAGTTGAAGTTTATCCTGAAGTCATTAAGTTCAAACTTCTTAAAAAATGCAGCACCACTCTGTAGCGTGTTCTCGTTCATGTTTGCATGCAAAATTACAAATATGTCCCAATACAAATCTAACAATAACAAAGTGACACAAATGTTCCCATTTGATCTGCATGAGTCCATGAAGCCTTTCTGTTCTGTATCATGGTGCAGAAAGTGATGGAAAGGCAGGTTTGGTAAGTCTTTCTGATTATACTGGATAAATAAACCATTTAGTGTAATTTAGTGGGAAATGTGTCGCTTTAAGCGAAGCCACTCGATGATGGTAAAGTAGCAGCTAAGAGCTTTTTACTCTCCACCTCCTACACATGTAAACATAAATCACTGGATTCTGACGTCGGCTGTCCACACTTTTAAATTGACTCTGATCTGCAGGTGACACACGGCATCAAAATAAAAATAAATGTAGTTAAAGCTGTAATAATAAACCATAAAATGGCAAAATGTTAATTTAGCAACAGAGGTGGTTGACGAAGCTTCTTTTAAAAAAAAAACAAAAACAAAACAATTACATAATCCATTTAGATTTCCTATTAATGTTATTAATTTTATTTTCATTTCACAATTTAGTAAAACTGATTTTTTTTTTTTTTAACAAAAGGTTTTATTGGCTCTAGTGGCCTGATTTGACAGTAGTTTGACAGGATATAGGGCAATGAGAGAGGAGGAAGGCCTGCAGCAATTGTCTCCAGGCCGGGAATCGAACCTGCGACCACCACCACGAGAACTAAGGCCTCAATACGTGGGTCGTGCTTTGCCCCTGCACCACCACAGCGCCCCGAACTAGTATTTTTAGTCAAGGTTGCTATAACTCTGTTTAGCTGGGTAATTGGTCTATAAAATTCAATTTAGTCACTGAATAAAATGTTTCGTTTTAAATGTGATTCAGTTGTGTTGTCCTTATTCTCCAAAGAAGACCGAAAAGGCCTGTTGGCATTTTTTATTTATTCATATTTAACTATGTATATTTCCATTGCACAGCAGTGTTTTTTTTAACATGCAATGGACTTTTACTCTCACTCGACTTCCTTAAATTTGCTCATTAACGTTCCAGTGTTTATTAAAACACTCTGCTCTCCCAGGTGTCGTGGATATGGGAACCTGTTGACGGCCAAAGGGACAACATTGCCGTGTACCACCCAACCTATGGACAGAGTTTTCCCAACGTGGCCTTTAAGGATCGAGTTATTTTTCTCCAAAACAATCTGAGGATCCCGTCCATACGGATTAAAGACCTGCGCATGTCCGATGCTGGGCGCTACACCTGCGAGTACGCTACGTACCCGTCTGGAAACGAGCAGGGAACCACCACACTCATAATGCTCGGTGAGTCCTCATACCAAAACACAAACAGCTGTTTGTGTCGTTCATTTATGGATAAATATATGTCAGGGCCACATGTGAATGATTAAAGCATTAAATCCTCCACAGGACTTGTACTTTCTGTCAGCGGAGCTTTGGAGAGGCTTTGAGAAATTTCTTTTACTGTTCATCTCTCCTCTCTGCCATCTGCTTACCTTTGTGTTTTAAAACAAAACGGTTCCCAGTGGACCTGAAGTCAAAGAAGGCTAAATTCTCTGGGTTTATCCTGATAACGTGCTGCATAAAATATAAGAAGGATTTCCTAGAAATACTCTTGATTTGACTCCTGGGGTTTCTTTAGCTCTCTTTCAGAATGTGAAGGAAGACTCTCAGATAATGTGGGAAAGTGTGTTGATCTGAAATGATCAGACGGTAATTTGGAAGATGAGATAACCTGCAGGTGTTTTATTACAGAACATCCTTGCAGAGATTCAGCTTCACCAGCATTTTGTCTTCCTCTTCCTGTCCAGATATTTAAAATGGGTATGCTGTAACGAGTTTTTGACTGGAGCATATGTATTCCTTCTGTGTTTGGAGCAGTCTTATGGCCACCTGCTTAATGTTGCTTTGGTCGCCATTTTCCTGCCAAAAACAGCCCAAACCTGTTGAGGCGTGGGAGCCTGTGGACCCCCAAGGGTGTCCTGGAGTATCTGGCACCAGGATGTTAGCTGCAGAACCTTTTGCTTCGGTCCAAATAACAGAGGCAGTAAATTACAATGACAATGGATACAATGCCACTGCATCCCATGATGCTCTACCCAGGACCCTAATGTGACTCAATCTTGAAAGTAAACCACCAGCATGCCTGTATTTTTTAAATTAGCTAATTTGTCGAGTCATTTCTAAATGCTTTGTGTTTAAAACAAATGTTAAAAAGACTGGGCTTTTATATGGCAAGCTTTTATTCACTAATGCATATCTACTAAACAACGAGCTAGAACTATTTCTCACTTTGTGAATAGGAATATATTCTCATTCCTTAAGAATTACCTGATTGTTGCTGTGCACATTGTAGTTTGTTGAATCAGAACTAAAACCTTTTGTAGGTTGATAGCCAAAAACCAAAATTTATCTTGTTTGAATTTTTAATACCAGTATAATAAAATTATTTTAAGCATTTAGTAATGATAAAAAAAGTCTGCCTTAGAAAGTGATGAGAAGTTGGATTCAGGCCCCCTTCCTGATTATGAATACAATACTCTTAACAAGAGGCAAGTTTCTTTAGGCAACCATCTGCTCCAACATGACAGGAAACCGACAAGAACCAGGACAGAAATCTAACAGGAGAGATTAATGAAGAGCAGCAGAGCAGGACCTCCTGCTAGAAAAGGGAACAATGACAATATGGCAGGAGACGTCCAATGGTTTATGGCAGCAAAGCTAAAGGGATGATTCAGGGACATAACAGACAAGTTCCATTATAATAGAGGGAGCAAATGTGAGCTGGTACCAACGGCAGAGAGGATGGATACTTTAACGATTGAAAATGTGTCTTCTTTCGTTTTGCACAATTTCAAAACCTTCAGTGCCTTAAAAAATAAATTCATGAAAGCAAATATAGCATATTTGAATATTTAAAGTGAACAATATGTGTCGAGGAGCAAAGTTTAAGATGCCAAGTGCTTATTCAGTGTTAGCTTTTACCCTGTGCATTGTCAGTTCTCAGCAGACTGCAAAGCAGCAAACACTTGAAACCAATAATGGGAGTAGTAGAAAATACCACTGAGACTGCCGTCTTTGTGGTTTCAACTGAGTGGGTGTTAAAAGGCGACACATTCTTTTTGTAATCTTAGACGGCTTTCACTATTTATCCATTTGCCTCGTCCAAAAGAGAATGATGCCAAAGTTTTTTCATCTCAAAAAAATAAAATAAAAAAATATTAGAAGGCTTTGTGCTTAAATAACAAACTATTCATTTTGTTGTTTGACTGAAGTGCTGCATGCACACATTAAAAATTAGTCCTGGAAGAAAAACAAACGCTCCAACATAATAGAGCCTGAGCTGAATAGACAGAGGAGTTTAATATTCTCTAGATGCTTGATGCTTTTATTCATCACTCATTCTTCAGGGAGAGATGGTATTTTGAATCCTTGTTTTCTGTCTTGTTGGTTTATTTTGCAAGAGAACATATTATTAGTCATTTCTGTTATTGAACCATTCGGTCAAAAGGCTGTTTATCTATTGTAAAGAGGGAGACGAGATCTTTTTCAAACGGAGGCTGTGAATACATTCTTACCTGTTTTTCATATTAAATTCAAGAATATTTTGTCTCATATACAATGTCAAGAAAACCCGAGATCATCCCACTTCCCCATGCTGGAGATTTTAATTTAACAGTAACAATAAATGAAGTTACCTTTAAAATGAATCACACTAGTGACATCTAGACCCAACAGTAGACTTAAACTTCAATAAAATAAATCCGGTTGTGTGTGTTGTTTTTGTCTCCTGCAAACGTTGCTTTAATTACACGTCTTTTTTCTATCCAATCATAAAAAATCAATGTCAGACAGAGAGAGATGAAACAGGAACAGCAGGCTTCCTGAAAAAGAGGAAGAGGAGCTAAAAAGAGGGCACAGAAGATCAATTCCTTATTTGGAAACAGATTGTTGAACAACTTAAACTTTTCAAAGATTGTGGAGGCAACAGGCATAGGAGGAATGTTGAGCAACCCTGGGTCAGTAGCACAGACATCAGGACATAATGTCTCTAAGACAAAGATGAATATCAGATCGTCTATCCAAGCCGTCTGTTTTTTGACCAGCTTCACAGGAGTGTGCAAGTAGTTTTGACGTCTGTCATGGAAGAGTTGGCTGTTTTCTAAAGAGCATTACGTCATATTCAAAGGGTCAGTAGGTCGTAGGGATATATGTTCCAGAGAACTAAGTACACCGAAGATGCATTTTTTTGTTGTAGTTCTGTAAAAGGGATATGGAGATATTTTCTGGCTTATGCACAGAAGGATTTGGGCTAAGCCTCCCAACTGCTGCTTCTGTTGGCACGAAGTGGAGGCAGACTGGGAAATACCTGCTGGAACGCTCAGTTGTCTGTTTGTGTGGATCTGAGGTGGTGCCAAACTCCCTGAGACTGAACCTGGCCTGACTGAAAGCTTTTGGCAAACTGAAAACCTCGAAGTCACTGGAGAACAGTCATATTCTATCTTCTTGGAAATGCAGTCCATATGAGCCAATCACATTAGACCCCACGGCTGCTGGAAGCCAATCATATTACGTTGTATTGGATATTGAACCATGGGCTCCCTGATTGTATCATGACTTATTTTAGTATGAATACATAATCCTAACAGCACTTATTGGTTAGAGCAGCACAGCCAGCCAATATTGTTCGCTCTTGTTGGAGTGTGAATTTAAAAACATCTCTTGTGTGGCAGTGATTGATGGCATATCATCTTGGATGGGGACCACATGTAATAAATGGCAGCCAAATATATTACATCTTATTGAATTTAGCAAAGCCAGCAAGACAGAAATATGATTGCAGGTGAGGGTGAGTGGAGTATATTAGAGGTCTGGTATATGTGCGTTCGTACATCTGCTGTTTCAGACGAGGGTGGGAATGTACATTCGGTTGAATGGGGGTAAGCTGACTTCACTGAGGGGAAATAAATGGTGTTTTTTCTCCTAAATTCTTTCAGAAACCATCCTGTTTGAACTTATTTGTTTGGTTTGCTGGTTGAGTTTCTCACAAAGCTGTTGTGACTGAAGGTATTTCTTGGGGTGACCGACGTTTCCTCTAAAAACAGAAGCTGTTAGTTATAGTCGCATACAAAATCACAATCTGGTCAATCTGAGCGAACTCATAATGCATAAGAGGTTTTGGACGCTGACGCCGATGAGGCATAACATTATGATCACTGACAGAGGAAGTGACCAGGACTTGAACAAGTTTGACAATTAACCAAGTTTTAAAACTAGACCACTTCACCAAACAAACCCAACTCATTAAATAAATCCTCATGTTGTGGGCGGCTTGAAGACCCACTCAACTCGCTAAATATATATGTTTATATTTGCACATTTAGACCCATTTCACTTCTTGTCAGTTACATAATTCTCTCTGAGTCTAATTTTAAGTTTGGCATTGGAACGAAGTTGTGCCCTGTCAGATCTTTTCCAGCAAGAAAGTCGTAGAACGACTGAAAACCTTCAGGATCGTCCCAGTCAAACAGCAATGCATTCAAAGTAGATAAAGACCCAGAACGTAAAGGAGAGATGACATACAGTATACCTGGAGACAGCTTTGGTTCCCCCTAGAGGAAACTTTTATATGCTCATGAAAGGAGTCTTAAATTGAAGATAAACAGCCTTTAAATGTGGGAACTTTGGATGCTTTTAATATCAGTGCGGCTATTTTTTCTTCTTGCATGTCAAAGATGGTAAAAATTATTTCTAATTAATGCCTTTTAGACACTTTGATGGTTCATTGAGGCTTTCTAAATTAATCTCAGGCCCAAGTTATTGTCTGGTAAAATTTCAAGAGGCCAGTAATGAGTTGTCAAAACATTACGCAACATTACGATAAAAGATTCCTGTAATATTGAATATTCATGTGTTTTTATACACTGACATGGAGTGCAGACGTAAACATATGTTTTCATGACAACCTGTGTGAATGTGTCAGGTTGAGAGGAGAGTTTTATGAACCTGGGCAGCTGGTGAGACGGATTCTAAAGCCTTCGCAGGATCTAGAAGCATGTATTGATTTTTGACGATGCATTCAACAAAGTAGAAAATAACAGAATAAATCACCTGACCGCCCTTCATCACAGTACACCGCTCAGAGATGCCATGTTTAGAAACGGAGAGAGGACGGAAACATCAGTGTGTGTCCCCAGCCTTTTGTCTGATCTGCCCTGAAGACGCGGATCGCTACCAGGCGCCACACGTTGATCAGATTTTCTATTTAAATGATCCTGTTCTTCTACATGACTATTTTTTATTTT